AACTGAAGCATATCTAATAAGCAGCATAAAACTTAATCAGGAGAGAACAATTCTAAGATGCTGAGAGCTAGCTCCAGTCTCCTAGAGCTTTCATCTGTGCCTTTCTCTGTATTTTCTAGGCTTTTGGTAGTCATTTCCATTAGCATGCCAGGATTTTAAGAGAGGATAAAATGACAGTAAATCAGAATAGCTATTGAGAAAACCAAAACTCACATTGGTGTAATACTGGAAAATAATTAATTAACTTTTAATATTTTACTGACAAAAACCCCTGCGTCTATTGTGATATAAACTATTACATGACAAATCATTTTAGCTTATTGGCAAGTTGACATTTTTCCTCTAATTGCACAGCATCAGACACACTGTTCGATGCCTGAGGGAATTCTTACAAAGCCATTCTGACTACCCAAGTAACTGCTACTATACAAACCCAGAGTATAAAATACAAGATAAAGTGCACTATGGCAAACAAGGTTGCCAAGATACTAATCTTGGATACTAATCCAAGGTTGATCCCAATGTTATGAAAAAAATCATAACTTGTTTTGATCTTAAAATTATCCTCAAATTGACTGATACACTTGAGGTGTCTAAATGGCTTAGTAGATTTCTACTCAGTTTAGTAGGACTGTATTGTCCTTAACAGGAATCTCTGTGCTCAGGATCCACTTAAAAGCAAATAAAAGTCAAAATTGCAGAGATCATCTGAGTTCCTGTAGCTCAGCAAGCTACTTCTGCAAGCACATACTAAGCATTAAAATTTATACTTTTCTAAAAAAAAAAAAAAAAAAAAAAAAGCACCAATAAAATAATACAAATTTGCATACCAGGAAGATAGCATTTTCCTGGACACCAATAGAAATTGAGTGCAATACATTAGCACTACAAACGGGAGACACCATGGATACTTTATTATATAGCAGTGGCCACATAATTCTCTGTATTCCCCTGCTTCACTATGTTAGTAAGGCACATTCCAGTGCCACATCCAGAGAAGCAGCCATAGGCAAAGCTGGGTAGCCACCATTTCCATATGCTATTGCTACCCTGCATACCCAGACCACTTTCAATGGAGAATCACCAGCCACAGTGTACATCATAGCCAGTCAGCTGCTCCCATCTTCACATACTTACATCCTCAGGCACCATTTTCCGTGCCATGGCAGCACATATGCAACAACCAGCCCCTTGAGCCTCTGCAAGTCACATACGGGGTTTCACACATCCACACAAATTTGGACCAGGGACACTGGAAGGATTCCAGTGAAGAGGAAAACTTTCAGTGGCATATACAAACTGTGTCAGGTGTATAGCAGAATCAAGCCACACATTAGCATACCCTAGAAGCAGACAGGAACTGGAATGGCAGCATAGAGGAGTAAAACAGCATTCAAAGGCTTGAGGGTAACTCAGGGCAGACAAAACGACACTTTCATGTTAGAACGGTAGTTTTTGAACAAGGAAAGGATTGATTCTACTTGTGAGTGATTTTGTTGGCATAAGGCTGACTTCTTTACTTGCATGGACTTTGAAGATTCACTTTTTTAACAGATGTCAAGAAAGAAAGATGCTGTTTAAAAGCTACTTGACAGAACTAGTCATTATAGGAAGAAGTACAATTAATTTGCGCAACCTGCAGAAAATAAGGTGTGTGAGAGCACAGAAAAGTCACTTCTGTAATTTCAGTTTTCCTTATGATAACTGCCTCTCAGACACATCTCATCCATAGCCATCAGACCATAAAACTAGGCTATTAAGTTAAAACTTGCACTTTAAAAATCCACAAAACCTTGTGCTAGGAATATGAACCGTGACCCCTTTAGTTACTTAGGAGACCTAGGCATTTTCAACATTATTACAAGGAGCCATTAGAAAGACTGAACCCATAGCCTTTATTGATTTAAGAATCATCCAACTGTACTTATCTAAGTGTTACTCAAGGGAGCTACTGTTGCGAGATTATGACTTTCAGAGTTTTACATTCATACTAGAAGGCAGCCAGGAAAACTAAACATTAGGACCAGTAACTCAATTTGAAGCCTAAGGTCTCATTAACTTCAATCATGTTTCTTTTGTGTTTGTCTCCCATTTGCCTCAGTAACTTTTCTTGTTGGCTCTGAGTATAATAGTGAAAGCAGACCACAGCCATGAGAAAAAACAAACACTCAGTGAGAAGCAGGTACGAGTGATTAAGCAGTTTTCCTGTGGTTTATGATGGCTTTTCTTCCTTTCTGAATTTTCCCCTAGACATGCATAGGAATACTGATATATATATTTTGCAATTTTACATTTTCTGCAGACATTGCAAGGATAGTACAGCAATCACATCATAACTATTTTAGTTATCCATAGACACATTTCCTAGATAGAAAATGAATCTAGTGATGATCAGTTAGTACTGCAGTTCTTGTGAATTTAGTATTGCATACTTTGTCTTAAAAGAAAAAGTACTTCTACCTTTTTCTGTTTGTTTTAAAATATTTGACCTTTCGTTTATTCACATAGAACTACCTCGAAGCTGTATCCACATAATTTGAGGAGTTCTCCTTGGGGAGAGCTCAGTATTAACACATGAGGACTCACTGTTTTCCTATTTACAATATGCATTGGTTCTGCATTGAGTCTTCAAAGAAAAAAGTAAGAAAAAATCCACTACTTCAGTACTATGAGATTATTGCTATGCAAAATGACTAACATACTAATGAACAACACGAAGTGTTACTGTTAACACTGGGAAAGCCATTCTACGTCAAATTCTCAAAGGTACTTGGCAAATTTTACTGTTAACTTCAAAAGAGACAGGATTTCAACCTTAGATTTTTTTTCTCCTCTTAGAAACTGCTTTGCCTCTTTCTAGCTAGTTTATGCTATAATCCCCCCAAAACAATGAATTTATACTGACACAGAACTTCTCATAAAGGGGTAGAAAGCCAGATAAAGTGGCCCTTACTGCCATTATGAAATCCCATGGAGCCCAAGGATTACATTAGTTTCCAAATTAATCTGATAGTAGCACCTCCCATACCTGTCTACTCATCCCTGAAAAGCAGCTTTCTACATATTGCCTTTCCCTTATTTTACTTAAATTGGTATTTTCAAAACATACCAAGTTCAGTGTTCTCTGAACATTACTGTCAAATGTAGCACTTTTTTTTTTAAATGACTGACTCCTTAAGAAAGATGTTACTATCTTTAAACATACTTCTATTTTATAACAAAAGATATATTTAAACCTACTGTTCTAACATGCAAAGTTAGTTATTTTAATATACAATCTGAAACTTCCCTGGAAATTGAATATTACATAGTTTCAAAACTGAATTGCACGTATACAATAGAAGTACAGTATAAATAAAATCGTTTACTACAAGTATTTTAAAACCTCTACAATACACTTTCAAAACATTTTATACAGTATTCTGTCTTTCAATATGAAACAATTTACATGGAGAAAAAATCTCAATATATAACTATAGTTGTTATTAACGTACTGAAATTGACTGTCATACAAAATTCATAGTAACTACAGACTGCTTCCAAATACCTTTCCTGGTTTTATTCTCTCTGAAAATAGGAAAGAATAAAACTCTCTTCATTTATACCAAATACAAAAAAGCTCATTCCACAGCAAAACCTAGATAAAGCACTTCAAAAATTAAAATAGAACAAAAGAAATTTTTTTACTTAAATAAATATGGATCTATTTAAATAGTGAAAAGAATGCCCTGTATCTTACAGAATTTAGAAATAGGATTAAAAACTTAAGGTTTCAAGTTGCATAACAAAGGAAAATGTTCTAAAAGGTGGCTTTTCAGTGAAATGGGAAAAAAAGAAAGAGACTTCATTCTTCTTCATAATGAATAAAGCTCCACTTCATTTACACTTTTTGCCAGCCCCACAGGCACAACAGGCAAAGCTCACTACTTACCAGAAAGTATAACTACAGATTCTATTAATACAAAATCAGAATTACCTAATTTGAACTAAAGTAATTTTCAGTCTCTTATATTTAATGTAACAAGAACATGACTTCCTAACAAAACTGCTCATTTGAGTTACTATCACATCTTAGAGAACATTTCTTTTACTGGTGCAATAAGTATGCTAGGAGACTGGAACTGATAGTAAGCTCATTTGTAATGTTTATGATAATTTCTTGTCCTCTTTTTTTTTTTTTTACAGGAAAATAGTTAAGTATTGTATGAATTGGCCAAAAAAAAAAAAAACAACCTAGAAAAGGCAAGGAATATGCAAAGAACTGGAGATAATGAAGTTGTAGAATGGATTGATTATAAACCCTGCTATTTTAGCACTGCCTACTTACATTTTAAAAAGGGAAAAGATCTAATTCTTTATGCATAGATTTCCAAGCACATTACAAAGCAGTTAATTTTTTTCTATTAACAGTTCTATAATGCCACATCTACATTTTTCTCATTAAACTTCTTCCCTTTTTCTACCTAGTTCTTCTTGCATCTTCTATCTGAATATAACCATAGGATTTTTAAATTTTTTTTAGTATGAAATATACACAGCAAGTATCCTTTTTTTGCAACATACAGGGAGCCAGAAGAAAGTAAAAGGACCATTTTTTCTGCATTCTGGACATCACCTTTTTATCTTTACTTTTCTGACAGTTATCATGGACAATGTAATGTCATAATACATATATACACACATATATGAAAGTTTAACTTAAAATACCTGACTTCTGGAGGACTGCAGATTAGTGCATCATTATTAATACAATAAGAACGTGTATGTATAGATCAACTTATGAAAAGAAATGCAAAATGGCTTTTTTGTTGCTTTTTTTTTATTTTAAACATGTCTTCACATTCATCACAAATTGTATCAAGTAGATAGTTCTGAAGACAGTACATTAACTTTTCAACAGGTCATCTCCATAATAGAAGAAGGTAATTCTTTTCAGTCAATTGTTCAGTCTAACATAAGCCTTTTAATAATTATGCAACACAAAATTTTAACATACGGTTTCATAGGGCATTACCCAGTTTCGATAAAAACAGTATGTTTTCTGGCTGCTGCTCAGTGGAACTCACCTTTAAACTCTCTTTAAAGTGAATAAGGTGATGTCTCTTCAAATGTGGGGCCTGCCTGAAATTTTTACCGCAAACTAAACACTCAAACGGCTTCTGTCCAGCATGCATTAGATAATGTCTTTCAAGTTTAGAAGGCGATTTAAAAGTTTTAAAACAGACACTGCATTGACACAGTTTGTTAACAACTTCACTTTTTTCAGTACCTTCAGAAAAACTGTGCCAATAGCCGTAACTGCTTTGCTCAATTTCCAACGATTTACTACACAAATACAGCTGTACATTTCTACTGCTGTTGTCACGAACAAAGTCCCCTGACTCAATTTCAACTTTGATTTCAGCTGCTTGGTTTGACTCAATCACCTCAAATTCTTGAAAGCCAGATGCCTGTGAAGATGTTTGAGAATAACCCGAATAACCCACAGGCTGAGAAGACTTAAATTCAATGTGATCTCCCTGATGGTTGAAAAGTTTGTTCAGGTTTTCAAATTCTACCTGGCAAACAGGGGTTTTATAGGGTCTCTTTTCAGTATGGGTGAGCTGATGTCTTTTTAAGTGAGCTGACTGTCTAAATGTCTTCCCACAAACATTACAGCCAAAGGGCTTCTGTCCTGTGTGTATAAGATAATGTCTTTGAAGTTTGGATGAAGACGGGAAGATTTTTTCACATCTGTCACATTTACACACTTTATGTCTGTTATGTATATTTTTAGCAGAAGCTGAAAAAGCACACTGAAATACTTCTGGATTATCAAAGAAACCATCATCTGATGAACCATAAAACCCATCCTCTTTACTATCCAGTGAATCACTGATGTTTAACATGCTTTCACCAGTAAGCATGCCTTTTAAATTAATTCCAAAGTCGTGAGGCTGCGGGTGCTCTTGCCAAGGTAACGGCACAGCAAACGTTCTTTTCATCCGATTACCAGGTCCCTTGTGCATGTCAAGCTTGCAATGGCAATCCTTGAAAGGTTTAGTGGAAGCATGCTGGTCAGAACACTGATCCCTAGCTGCAATCAGGTCACGATTTTTAAAGTGACCTGACTTTACTTTTTTTCTGTCAGTCAGAGAAAAATCTGTTGCCTTTCCTCCAGTACACTTCAGCTTCTTCAGGATCTTATTTTTCATGCTGACTGAGTGGCTATATGCCTTTATACCATTATTTGAACTTTTGCCATCTCTCAGATAACATTTGTGCAAATTTAGGACCTGTTCAGTTTCAAAACACTGCTCACATGCAGGGCACTGAAAGTGTACAATATAGATCAACTGAGCATCATGTGGGTCATTCCCCTCTGACTCACAGGTGTCAGCATTCTCAAAATTATCCTCCTTCCCTTCCAATAGCTTGCATGTTCTGGGATATTTAAGAGTCTTTGCTTTGTACACAATATTGGGAAAACTCTTATTTCTGGCATGGAGCTGTTTGTGCTTCATGAGTTTACTCTGTATTTTAAACCCTTTCTGACAAAAGCAGCACTGAAAAGGTCTTTCTTCTGTGTGTGTGAGCTGATGGATTTTCAGGTGTGTTGACTGTCTGAAAGATTTGCCACACGAAGAACACTTAAAGGGTTTCTGGCCAGTGTGAATTAGGAAATGTCTTTCTAGCTTAGATCTTGATGGAAATGTCTTGTTACACAATTCACAAGCGTGACTTTTCTTTCTCCTTCTGACACCATGTAGAAAATCTGCCTTCAGACACTGATGCAGCATCCAACTCTCTTCAGTTGTAAAAGACTTCCAGCACATAGAACATCGAAATATGCCACAAGTGACCATGTCTTGCTCAGAATTTACAAAGGTTTCTGCTTGCTTAGTATCGTTCTGGCAATTTTCACTATGAAGCTGCTGATGCTTTAAGAAAGTGATTAAGTTTCTGAAGTTTCTGTAACAAACAATACACTTAAAGGGCAGATTATGAGTTAACTGATGCCTCTCCAGGTGGACTAGCTGCCTAAATGTTTTATGGCATACATGACATTCAAATGGCTTTTGACCAGTATGTATCAGATAATGCCTAGCTAATTTTGATGGAGTTTCAAACTGCTTATAGCAAATGTCACAAATATATGGCTTTTTCTTGGGTATCCCATCAGCTGTTACACACTGCTGAACTTTTAACATTTTTAAAAAGCAATTACACCGTGCCTACTGTTCTTCAGATAGGTATTTCAAGTGAGATCATCAACTGCGCACTATGACCGAAGGCTGTAGAAGCAGCAAATTTTCTTATGAAACATATTCTTAAATCCCACAGGTCCCTAAAATAAGAAAGAGAACATTAATTTAGCCTATATTCCTATATAATTGCCTAAATTTGTCTTGTTTTCTGTACGAGACCAAAAGTATCCAGATTAGAATACTCCTGATTTAACTTTGCTTAAAATTTCCTTGCAACAGAGCAATCTCTCGTTATATGATATAGAAAAACTTTCCAGAAGAAACAAACAAGTTTAAGTCAAGTGTAAACTATACTTCCAAATAATACACAGTTCCGCTACAGTATGATATTTCAGGTTATTTACAAATAAAGTACATTCTTAAAAAACAAAAACCAACCAAACAAAAAAACCCACCAAACCCAAAACCCACAAGAACTTACTGTAATAAGTTTTGCCCCTGCAGCAGTAGTTCTAACATCCAGATATATTTATGAACGCAAGAGAAAAAGAGAAGAACTAGTAATTCTTGGGCTTCAGAAATAAAAATTAAATGAATGAAGCATTAGTGAGAAGTAAAAACTAATTTCAGTGTATTGTTAAACTTACTATTCACATTTCTGCATCTTATCAACTGTATCCAGTAATCATTCTTGCAAACACCAGAACCAGTCAGCAAGAGCAACATACTAACCACAAACTACAACCAGAATGAGGATAACCCCCCAAAGCAAGGATCATTCTCACCACAGAGTTAAAAATATCAAGAGCTGCAATACCTAACCATGCACATAGTCCAAGGTCATCATAAATATAAAGATTTTTACAATAATTCATTTTAATTGTTCTAGTCTAAACCAAAATCATGAAATAGTCAGCTTTAATTTTCCTTGAATTTTCAACAGACAGAACACGCTTAAGCAAGCTACTGTTTCTCAGTTAAGGCATAATGACTTAGAAACTTGAAAGAATGACTTTGCTAGTACCATAGTTCATGAAACGTTATTAAAATATTTATAGGAACAGATAGAAAGCATGTCAAGCAACCATTTAGTCCAAGCCTTCTATTTGAGGCCAACTCATGTCTAGACAGTCTCCAAAGCAGTCTTAACTTCTGCTGAAGAAGATTCCTTATCTCAGCAGGGCTCCTGCTCCAATGTGCCACCCTCTCATGAAGCTTCTCCTTGTACTCAGCTGAGCCTTTTTTCACTAAAGTTATCTTCACTGTCTTTTCCCCATGAACCTGGAAAATAACTAACAAGTGTTCTCTGCCACCAACTTTGTATATTTAAAATCTCCTGTCTCTCATGTGGGGTTTGGTTTTTTTCTTAAAAGTATTGGTTTTAGGTCAACTAAAAAAAAAATACATAACAGATTGGTCTTCTTAAGCATCTTTGCACTTACTTAAATTGGTCACATCCTTCCTAAACTGCAGTATCTAAACCAGATTAAGTATTCCAGTAGTACAAACAACACAATAAAAATACCTCCGTGGCATTAAATATATCCCCTTAAAAAAAAAACCAAAACAGATGGAGGGAGCAATCCTTAAAGCAGCAACATAATAATTAGGACTTGTAGTAACTTTAAGATGCACAAGACATTTCTACTACCTACATTTGTGGTATTTTGATACTACAGCTCACAAGTTATGTATTCTTTCTACATACCGGCAGAATAAAAAATAAAAAAAATAAATTAAAAAAAAAAAATCATTTATTCAGTGTCTCCAAAAGCTCTGTCTCTTCACAAAGAGTTAAGGTCCCTAAGTTTTAAAAATCTAGAAATATCTGGAAAGTCCATTTCAAGTCACTGCAAAGAATAAAACCCTCTTGCAGTTTACAACAAGATTCAAGACACATGCACAAAAGACTTAAAATATCTGGTGAACCAATATTTCCCATAAGCTTAAGAGAGAAACCTGGTCATCTGGTAGGATCATTCTGCCTCTAACAGGTGTTAAGAGGAGGAACATGTTCCTATGTAATTGTAGGCCTTACTAAATAAATAACATTTGGATGTATGCCTTAGATGCAATCGTCACTACACTAAGAAGTTACCTAATCTTGCTGAAGTAGTTCAGGATAGCATTTATCAATGCTGAAGCAGTTGAGAAAGTCAACTTTCCTCTTCCTACTCTCTTTTCCTATTGAATTTTAACAGCTACTCAGTTTCAGTCTTCTTTTGAAGATACAAGAAAACACAACACTTTTAGGAGACCTCTTTTTCTTCCTAGTTGTTGTCATGTCATGTGAAAGCTGGAAGTTTAGAGAGAGTAAGTGTGTGACACCAAATGCTTTCTAGTTTGTGCTACTGTGAAACTAGAGACAGGTAGGCTGAGAAAAGCTTCTCTGCTATGCTGAAAGTTTCTGTACAGCTCAAGGCAACCTCCATTAGCAGGGAAGGAAAACCTCCTGAGAAAGAACCGTAAAGACTGATGAGTTTTAGTTAACATACTGTCACACAGATCTAATTTACACATCAGGAAAATGCTCAAACAGCATAGTGACATGGAAAGAAAAAAAAAGTCCGAAGTAAGAGACAGCTGTGGCATATTACACAATGGATTTTGTATTTAGCTTATAAATTTTTTAAAAATTCTATCTGGTAATGAGGAAAATGCTCTGTAGTACAAGGTGTCAAAAGCCGACTAGAGCTTACTGCAGCCTTCATGCCCTGTGAAAGACGGAAGGCTCAGATGAGGTAAAATGAGGGGATGCAAGTGAAGGAGAAAGGAGCTAAGACGGATACTACAGTATGGCCCAAATGTATTTTCAAATCCTGTTTACTCAGGACAGGCTTTTGCCCATCTATTTCAGGGTGCTCTGTGCCTTGCACATCTAAGGAATAAACATGATGCTGCTAACCATCAAAGAGCAAAAGACAAGCTTGGAATATTGTCTCCTGGCAGCCTTGGAAGTGCACAGGCTTGTCCTAATTAGAATCAGAAAATGTACTTCCATATGTGATAAGGATTTAGTTTGTGGCGTAGGTCCAATCTAATTTTAAGTTGGCACTACTTTTCATCTTGGCTGCGAGGTCATGCAGAAAAACAGAATCAAGAAGTAATGAAGGCCACTGAAGGTCCACAGAGGATCCTCCTAAATCGAGTATTATATAATGTTTAAGTAAAGATTTACGTTTACTAATATTACAGATGGCAGCAAGGTGCAATAAAATGGAAACACAATGAAAGAAAATTCTGAATTCTCATCTAGTCTTTACTAATCAGATTTAAAAAAATAAAAAATGGAAGGGCACTTTAATAAGAAGAAATGCAAGATCTTCAATTTAGGCAAGAATAACCAATTGGAAGGGAACAACTTATTGGGTTATAGTTGCGCATAAAAGACATTGAAGTCTAAGCTAGAACAGAAGCTGAGTATGCCAACAGCATGCCATCCATACCAGGATGCGTAATTAGAAGTAAAGCTTTGACGTCACTAAGTCTTCCATACTACTCGCTACTGTGTAGAATTCAGTTGGAATACTCTATCCAGATTTGAATACTGTCCTTCAAATTGAGTCAAGCATTTGAAGTTAACTACAATTAATTCAAAGAGTATCAAGTATCATTAGAGCTTAAATGCATAATATACAGGAAAAGTTTAAAGTAACTGGGAATGTTCAAGTTAAGGAAGAGACCTGAGTAAAAGGAAAAAAAAAAAAAAAAGCCCCAAACAAAACCAAACATAAGAGCCAGCTTGAAAAAAGTTGTTCCCCAAGCCATTTACAGATGTGACTACAAATGGCTTCAAATTATAGCAGGAAGGATTCAAGTACATTACTGCCCTTACAGTTGCAAAGTTTTTCTTAGTGAGCATACAAGTTGCGTGGGGAGATCGCTCTACCTCCAAACGCTGGAGGGTCTCCAAAAAAGGTACAAACACCTCTCAAATTCCCACACCCATATAGCTGTCCCTATATAAGATAAATATTCCGCCTTGTTTTCCTATAACTCATTAACATAATTCAAAACAGGACACTTAAGAATTGAAAATTCAATATATTTCTAAATTTGTCACTGAAGAATTCTTCCACATAATTAGCAGTATACCCTCAGATCCTTGAGATAAACTAACACTTGCAGCTTTCCAGACAATTACAAGAAAATTATTTATAACAATAAATGTGTGTAGAAGCATAAGGTGGCTCTTTTAACATTAACTACAAATCACACTGTGAAAATCTAGCTGCTGATATACAAAACGCGTAGCTTGCAACAGACGGGAGGAACCTGAGCGCTGAGGCAAGCACATCACTGGCTGGATTACCTCACCAGCTTTCCGTAGGGAAAAGTTCAGATTCCTGCGATGGGGCCACAAATCACACAGAAACGTAACCTTCGCCTGCAAGTTACACAGGCATCCACACCTCACGTTATAGCTCCTCAAAGCTAACACCTCTCATTCTTACCTATTTTCCGTGTATTTTTCAAAGCATTTTCTGAAGCAAAACAAAGTAACAGACACATGACGGCACGGCAGAGCCGATTTAAGGACAAACCCAAGTTCTGCCCG